CATTTGCTGGATATAGGCTGCTTTCCTAAGAGACTAAACATAGTGGCTTAAACAGAAAAGCAGCGTAATTCTTTCTCAAGATCCAAATAATGAGTGGGAAACTATTCTGGTGGCTAAATGGTGGTGGACACCCAGGCTCCTATTGTTTCTCCACTATCCCATCCCTTCACGGATTCAACATCCAAATGCCTTCAGGCTGTTGGAGGAAGAAAGAGAAAAGAGGAGGGTGTGCTCCTTTCCTGCCCAGGACCACACTCTGAAGTGAACGAGTCCAGTTGGCCGACTCCAGTCGTAAGGCCACAGCTTTGCTGCCAGGCAGGCTGGGAAACGGGGTTTCTGGCAGGCAAGTATCCAGGTAAAACTTAATACTAAAGAAGATGGGGAGTTAGACGTGAACCCCCAAATGACACAAAAATCACACACGGTCATCCTTATACAACTAAGAAGGAATGGCCGAATGAAGCCTGAATGCCTGTAACAGCCCTGGGGATGGGCAGAGGAGGTTCAGGGAATTGACTTTTTCCTGAGGAAATAATTTTAAGCAGAGATCTGAAAGAGTTAATGAGATGAAACAAGGAAGAGGGTTCTAGGAGAGGGAACAGTGTGCTAAACCCCCCCAAATGGGGGACAAGGCATGTTTGAGGAATTGAAAAAAGGTTTAATTTAAGGAAAAACCCCATAAATCAGTCTCTTCCCTAGGAACTGAAGCTGGTTAGTGAAAGATGTGCACAAACTCTAAACAACACCATTTAATTTCTGTGGCTTGGAAATATCCCCCGAGGTTTATCTGCAGCCCAGAGAAAGCTGACACTGGTTTGAGGTCTGATGATTTGGGACGTCTCTCGCAAGATCTGGGTAAATGAGTAAAGTCATTGTGTGAGTGGCTGCTTAGACAAATTTGGTAAAGTTGTATGTTACTTTTGATTTTATGTAGGCTTCCGAAAGAGTCCTATCATTTTTGTCTATAGCTTATTGAAATAAGGTGGCTTTGGAAGTCATTTGCTGTTTAGCATTAAAGGAACAGATTGGCACTGGGGTAATGGATCTGCCCTGAGATGTGGGAGGGCAGCAGTAATTGTTGACTCATCCAGACTCATTTCCATATGTGTGGTAACACGTGGAAATCAGTTTCGTTACTTTATAGTCTCACTTCTTATTAAAGCCCTGTGAAGTGTGAGTCATAGGAAACTGGAGGTACTAGGATTCGAGGGAGCCCAGTATAAAGAATTCATGAAATTTTTCTGCGCCACTTACCCTACTTTTTCTTATTGCAACTGGGTAATCAGTTTTTAAATTTTAATGCGCTCCTTTCCTTTGGTTTCCCAAGGACACAACCTTTACCTTACTTGGCTCAAGGCGTCTGTCTGATTGCGAGAGATGAAAATTTGTTATGGAAGGAGAGTCGAGGAAAAGACTGGGTAATTTCCAATCTTCGGTACTCAGAACCATCCCCAGGCAGCTGGTGATCATCTTGAAGGCAGATTTCACATTTCGGCATCTCCAGGCCATGAAAAACCAGGCCCCCCTCGCATAGACCTCACACCCTGTGGTACAGGGTAGCATAGAGAAGAACAGGATGCCTTGGTAAATTTGAATTTCAGATAAACAATGAATAATTTTTGAGTATAAGTTTGTTCCAACTATTGCATAGAATATACTTAATACTTGAAAAGTTTGCTGTTTTGTCTGTGATTGGGCATCTTGTATTTTTATTGTTTTACCTGCCAATCCCACACCCAAGGTCTTGAACAGATAGGCAAATACCACTTTATAGTAAGAGAATAAGACAAGAGGGAAGCGTAGAAAATGCTAGTTACACAGACTGGCCAACCATGGAACCCCTTTCCTCTGTTTTTTTTTTTTTTTTTTTAATTTCAGGTTAATGTGAGGGTACCAACAACTAAGCCACAATATTTGCATTTGTTGGGTAGAGTCCCTCTCGCAGCTGTTTCCTGCACCCCAAAGGTGTGCCGTATACCCTTACATTAAGTGGGAGCACACCAATCCCCTCCCCTCTTCTCCTCCCCCCACATTCTCCTTCCCTCTACCTTGAATTTAATCGGAGTTTTTAAAAATATGGAATGTTTCACGAATCTGCATGTCATTCTTGCCCAGAGGCCATGCTAATCTTCTCAGTATTGCTCCAATTTCAGTACACGTGCTGCCGAAGCGAGCACCCCCTTTTCTCTATTTGAACAGAGACTGCGCCCCCACTATGGAGTCAGAAAGTACCAGATCCTTTCTCCGCCTCCCTTGAACAAAAGTGAGGGCACATGTCTGTCAGATTCATCTTCCCCAACCTTGACTAAAAAATAGGTGTTTGGAAGAAGCAGGTGCAGTGTAGCGCCCATTCTGGTGACCGGAGTGACCTTGGCTGCCTCCAGAGTCCGGTGTTGCCCTTGGCAGAACCTGTGGGGTCCGGAGCCCATGGCAACAGCAGAGGTTCTAAGGCTTTCTCCTGAAGGATGTTGCTGGCTGCAGAGCCTGCCTCTGACCCTCTCTGAGCGTCTCTGCAACTGATCTGATACCCTTCTGATGAATTCCTCTGCTGCTTAACTCCAACAGAATCAGTTCTGTTCCTTCCACCTAAAACTGTGAGGGATAAATGAAATATAAGCTTTCTCAGGGGTGGGAAATTGTGGAAAGAAGAACAAAAGGAGTGAAGTAGGGGAACAGAATGGCAGAGGGAGGAGACGACCTACAGTGAGCGGGCGGGGGGCGGGGATGGCTTCTTGGAGGACATTCTGAGAGGCTGCAGCAGTTTTGATTACCTGCTGGGGTTCCTAAGGACCAGTTTGCACCCTGGCTGCATGATGCTTGTGGCCTGCTGGCTTTTAAGCATTTTGAATCATGCCTGGGTGCACCCATTTCCTCTTGGTTTGACAGAAAGAGTCTCTGAGGATTAGCTCTCCAAAGCCTCCCTGGACTTGGGTGTGGTGCAGGCAAAATTCAGAGTTTAGCGGGGGAGCTTGACATGCTGGGGGAGTGGTAGTTTCACTGCAAAGATCTGTGCGAGGAAGAGCACCCAAGCCAGGGCAGATGAGGAGGCACAAACCTCACAGCATTAAGGGGCCCAGTGAAGCTTCATAGCCTGAATAGTGCCACTGGGCCACATCAGCTGAAGTTAGACTAGGCCCATGGATTTTGGGCCCCCATTGTTGGTATGGCTAGCAGCACTCTGCAGGAAAGAGATGCTGGCCCAGATTCTTGAAATCCCAACCTGGTCATCATGAGGCTGTCAAAACCATAATCCTCACTGTTCCCTGGGGGAGAGAAGCAGAGAGCAAGGTGGGCTACTTGAGAGATCCCACATGGATGAAGATTACCTACGGGGATGGTCAAATTGTTGTATTAGATACTGAGACACTTCTACTCCTGGTAAAGGTGTGGGCAGGGGCAGAGGAGGAAGGCTAGACCAGCAACTGATAGGCTAAATTATCATTATTATTATTTGAGACAGAGTCTTAAGCCGTCACCCTGGATAGAATGCTGTGGCGTCACAGCTCATAGCAGCCTCCAACTCTTGGGCTTAAGAGATTCTCTTGCCTCAACCTCCCATGTAGCTGGGACTACAGGCACCCACCACAATGCCCAGCTATTTTTTTTTTTTTTTGGTTATAGTTGTCATCATTGTTGTTTGGCTGGCCCAGACTGGATTTCAACCTGCTAGCTCTGGTGTATGTGGCTGGTGCCCTAGCCACTTGAGCTACAGGTGCTGAGCCTGATAGGCTAAATTAAATAATTTGTTTCAGCAGTGCCCGTAGCTCAGTTGACAGGGCGACAGCCACATACACCTAAGGTGGTGGGCTCAAACCCGGCCCAGGCCTGCTAAGCAACAATGACAACTACAACAAAAAAATAGCTGGGTATTGTGGCAGGTGCCTGTAGTCCCAACTACTTGTGAGGCAAGAGAATCGCTTAAGCCCAAGAGTTTGAGGTTGCTGTGAGCTGTGATGCCATAGCACTCTACCGAGGGCAACAGCTTGAGACTCTGTCTCAAAAAATAAAATTAAATAAATAAATAAATAAACAAATGGTTTCGTCCTGCACATAATGTGAGTTAACATCTGTGATCTTGCCCTCCTTCTCCACTTTCTAGCCCACAATCTTGTGCTCCAGCCACATGGAGCCTCTTGCCACTCCCTAGCCCCTGCACGCATCACCTCTCAGGCTCCAGAATCCCACGCTCTCATGGGGAGTCCTGAGCAGTGGCTCAGCTGCTGCTGCTCATGTCCTGGAGAAATCAATGGTTTCCAAGGTAGCCATGTGCTGTTCGTTCTGTTCCCTCAGTCTGGAACTCTCCCTTCTACACTTGAAAAAAAACACTAGCCCTTCAAGAGCTAGACAGAATGTCATGACTAGGAAATTTCTTGAGACCTGTGCTACATTCTGCATTCTCTCTCTGCAGAATTGATCGCAGCGCTCTTCCCTGGGCCTTTGTGTTTGAAGGTTGTCTGTGTTTCTGCCTTGCTGGGCTGGGAGCAGACAGAAGGTGCAGGCTGCATGGTTTTCATTGTCATTCTCTAGCTCCCGACATAGACCTTGGCAAAGAACCCTAACAAATGTCAGTGAACTATTAATAATTGAATGTGTACTCTCCTCTGTCTCCCCTATTTATCTGTCCCAGTCTCACATCGAACTGGTCTTTAATTGTATTTATCTTTGATCTAAGCGTTGGTAATTATTCATTCCTATCTGTTCTTTACAGCATTTAGTGCACTGGCTTGCGTGTCATAAGTATGCATATGGAGGTTAATTTGATTGGTTTAATGCTTCCATTCACAGAACATCAGAGTTTGAAGAGAAATTAGAGGCATCTTATGCAACTGCTCACCTGGTGTATATGTTAGTGAGGTCTGTATATTAGGGGGTTTATGTTACACACACAGGATGTACACTAATATCCCTGCTGATTCTACGTTACTACCTGGCCAGTTCTCTTTGTTCAGTTACCAGCAGCATCTGAACAAAGTGCCCCGGGTAGAGTGCTGGGGCATCATTGCTCACAGCAACTTCAAACTCTTGGGCTCAAGCTCAAGCAGTCCTCTTGCCTCAGCCTCCCGAGTAGCTGGGACTATAGGCGCCTGCCACAATGCTTGGCTATTTTTCCCCCCCTATTTTTAGTAAAAACAGGGTCTGGCTCTTGCTCAGGCTGGTCTCAAACTCCTGAGCTCAAGCAACCCACCTGCCTCAGCCCCCCTGAGTGCTGGGATTGCAGGTGTGAGCCACTGCAAGCCTTAGTATATGCTGTCTGACATTGATGGTGGTGAGGGTGATGGAAGGTGTTAGCTGCTCGGGCATTTATCTGCTATCTCCTTGACAACAATATTAATACCTAATATTTAGTAAATACCTGTTGTTGTTGAGACTTTTGCTGGGCACTGGAGGGACAAAAAAATAAGAACAACAAATAAATAGTATTTGTGTTCAAAGGAACTAGAAAGTCGAGGAGGGAAAATCAATCCGTCCAATGACTATACGGTACAAAAAGAAAATTGCAGGACAAGAGTATGTAGAAAACACAAGGAAAGCCAGGCCTGTGATGGGTGGTGGCCAGGAGGAATTGCAGACCCTGGATGGGGCGTCTGTTTACCTGATGAGAACACTGGGAAGGCGGTTCTAGAAAGAAGGAATGGGTGGTGCCAAGTAGGGAGGTGTGAGAGAAATACTTGGGGCCATCCCATTGGCCCAGTATTGTCACCACAGCTCTAGGGAGGCAGAGGTTAGGGAGGTGGGGAGAAAACGGATGCAGCTAGAGATGGAGGCACTGGAGACAGAGGTGGGAGACGGCTCATAAGGGGCCTTTCTTATTACGCAAAGGAACTGGTTTGCATTGTGTTAGCCTTCGTGATGTGTGGGATCTGTGTGATGGATGGGTTTGATACCTCACTGGTATCATTACGTTGAGGCTCAAGGAGGACAGAGACTGGAGGAGGTGATTTTCCTGTTTTAAGAGAAGAAGGATGACTAGGGTTATGGTGGAGGGGCTGGAGGGAACGAGATGAGAAACAGGAAGAAGAGAGGCTCAGATGTCCACGTGACAGGTGGTGGGCATGTGGGCCAGAGAGACGAAAGGCCAGAAGGAATTTTGGGTGGCTGGAACTCCTGGGTGGGTTCAGGGGAGGAGCTGAGAATGAGGAGTTTCAGGGTCACCGGGGTTGAGATGGTTAATTGCCATTTTTATCCATTGCTGTGGTGCTCAGAGGGAAAGTTTGGTTAAAGATACAGACATGTCAGTGATAGTCCCCAGAGCAAGGAGGAGCAGGTTAAGGACCCACAGGGGCACCCAAACGTAAGGAACAGGCAGTGAGAGAGGAGCCAGCCAAGGAGTCAGAGAAGAAAAAGCCAGAGAGTGGAAGAACAGGAGAAAGTCGTGGGGGGCAGAATTTTAAAAGGGAGAGCTTGATCAAGAGTGCTAGATGCTACTGAGGGAAGCAGGACCAGGACTTTGGCAAGGCCATTTATTTTAGCAATTTTGGGGGCCACCGGGAGAGCAAGAGCAGTGGAGTGAGGAAGCCAGACTCCTCTGTGAGGAGCCCACGGCGGTAAGTGTCAGGTACAAGTGATTTGACTTTGTGCTTGGCCTTTTAACCACACAGGTGTACGAAACACACCACAAAGCAGCTCCCAAGCCAAACAGTCACGACGGCCTTTGAAACTGGCCGCCCAGGGTATGTGATGCACACAAGGAAAAAAGGAAAGAAGTGGGATGAAGAGAGTGATCCGACTTTGCAGAACACTCGTATGACATTGGATTAGAGAAAACATCCTTCAAAGTGAAAAAAGGCTAGTTCACATCTCACTCGCTGGAAGTGCAAATCCAAATTCTGATGGGCAATACCTTTCTGGTAAAGGAGACTATTGACACATGGGCCCTTTATTCAACATTGTTGTTTATTATTGTTATTTATTGCCTGAGCATTAAAGCTGGTGGGGCAGATAATGTATTATGTATTATACACACACAGACATGCATATGTATCTCTGTACATCTCAATACATACATATATATGGCAGACTGCTCCGCATGCCAGGGTGATTAGCTTGTGGTTGCTGAATGAATGACTGATTAGGTGATGACCATAATCAGGTGTGGTTAAGAGGGTAGGGGAGAAAGATTTGGGGGACTCTTTAGAAATCAGTCTAACAGAGGAAGTCTCGTGAAAAAGCATTTCCC